GAGTTTGGAAGCTTGGGAGTTTAGGAGCTTGGGAGTTTGAGAGCTTGGGAGTTTGGGAGCTTGGAAGTTTAGGAGCTTGGGAATTTAGGAGCTTGGGGGTTCGGAAGCTTGGGAGTTTGAGAGCTTGGGAGTTTGGGAGCTTGAGAGTTTGGAAGCTTGGGAGTTTGGGAGCTTGGGAGTTAGGAAATCTGAAGATTTAGAAGGTAGAAAGCTTGGGAACTTGGGATTTTGGAAACTTGGGGGTTTGGAAGCTCGAGAATTTGGGAACTTGGGAATTAGGAAATCTGAAGATTTAGAAGATAGAAAGCTTGGGAACTTGGGAGTTAGGAAATCTGAAGATTTAGAAGGTAGGAAGCTTGGAAACTTGGGAGTTTGGGAGCTTGGGAGAGAAAAAGAAATGGGTCAAATGGGTGTATTTGAGGAGACCTGTAAACTTAAGGAAAATTGCACTTCGTTGGTGTAACTAGGATTCATGAGGATTCGTAGTTCACAACTTAGATTCGGGGTGATCTAAGACCTTCGAGTTTGCTAATAACAAAATGACCATGGGTGTAACAGAAATTTCCATGCCGATCTAAGACCTTATCTTTGCTAATGGCAGAATCCAACTATATTTGATGCTATGATTAGTACCAACTTCTGACCCAGTTGGTATAGCTGGGATTTCTGGGTTGAGACACTTTGCTAAGGACAAAATTCAACTATATTTTATAGGATAGCCTTTTGATAATGTGGAAATTTGGAAACTGGAGAATTTGGGAATTAAAGATTTGAAAATTCGGGAATTTCTGATATTTGGAATGAGGATGTGAGGATGTGAATGAGAAAGATGTGGAATGCAACCACCTTGGTCCCTGCCTAACACTCCTACCTCCTATCTAATACCTATACCTATCTAATACTGGTCCCGAAAGAGTGAATGACACCCCTAAGTCCATATAAACGCACCCACTCAACATTCCACACGAAAATTCCATCAGTTTGAATTCCAATTAGAAGCTAGATGCAATCTCCAAGGTAAAAATCATTCATTCAAGGATTCAGTTTATTCGAAAACACGCAGATTCGCGGCAAGATGATAAGGAAAGGCTCCGGTGCGTAAACTCGGCATGCAGGAATAGGTCGAAGGCAAACGGGAGAGCATGGTCGGTAACAGAACGGATGTATCGGATGTCCAGATCTCTGAACCTGCTGCCGTGCAGGATTTTTCGTAGCTCAACGACCTGCTGACCACTCTCAGCCTGATATCCGATAACGTCCGAGGAGGTCCTTATTATACCCGCCAGGAGACACTGCAGCCTCTCTCACGACTTTTACGGATTCCATGAGTAGGGAATATCCGTTTACTCATCAAACAGTGAGAACGCAATTTTCGATTGGGGTATTGTCTTCTGAACGCGGTTTCAGTGGCTACTTGTGTTAAATCGCTTTTAGGCTTTTGGGTAAGGGGTTGTGTGAAATAAAATATACTTGGAGTATGTCAGAGTGATGATTTAGAAAGAAAAATTGAATGGTCGAAGAAATCGGTGCTTATGGACAGTTAGAACTAACTAAAACATATTACTGACAGTACATCTATGCTTGGAGTACTCGCTTTGGACTCTAATTAAATAATAACTTCAAAGGATGTTCTCCAAAAACGGTATAAACATGGTTAATGCTTTAACTCCAGCAGTATACCATACCCCTCATTTTTTTATTTCAATCTTCTCTCTACTCCAATCCTACTCTACTTCCTAACACATTAACCTTGAAATATCTAAAAGTCCCCAACTTCTAAAAACCTAATCTACTCCACCTATCCAGAGAAATCATCACATCTATACTTTTGATTTTACTCGACATCCCAGCACGTCACATAGCTAATAATAAACCGGCGTTAAATCAGTTTCGTTGGTCGAATTCTTGAACACATTCCTGTTTGTTGTACCTCGTTAATATTCCGTCAGTTGTTTCAATATTTTACAAGATGAATTTTTCCCCACGGAAGAAACAAATTCGGTTGTCGCGGCACACGTGCTGTTTCAGGAAACGTGTGCGCATAAATGAGCGTATGAAGAATGAATCAGACGATTTATTATCGCGTATTCACGACCCAAAACCTCTCGGTTCCTCTTGATTCATGCGATTGGACCAAATTCTGCTCCAACAGAAATAAACGTATATTTGATTGTTAAGAGGTCGTAAAATAATGAGTTTAAATCCCTCTTGTAATCGTAATAATTTATTTTTAACTCTACGATCGGTTAAACAGAAATTTAAGTAGTTTATTAAGGTTGTACTAAGTAATATTTCAGTACTGTTTATTAGAAATCAAATTTGTTCAACTAACTATTATTTAATTTAATTTTAAATTGTGAATAAATTTTATTTAATTTAAATTGTTCATGGTTCATCTTGTAGTTCTTCAAAAATTCTTACATTCAATTAATTAAGCTACACATAAAATCTCCGCATTACCCAGCGTACTCTACAATGTAAATACCGCTTATCTTCGATTGTAAATATGTTTCTTTGAGTCTCGTGCGGAATTAAATTCTCCGTATCGATGATAAGTCTGTATTTTTCGGTTCCTATTCTGACGTCAGATGCGAGAAAAATGCTTTAAAAATAACGAACGCGAGTCCAGTAGTAATACTAAAAATAAGTGGTTTCCACAGTACGGATAAAGATAACGGAGCATAAATATTTCGCTGTTTATATACTTTTTGTGCTCTCAGGATACGGGTGGGGAATTTGGGGATATGGAAAATTAGAAGGTAGGGAGTTTGGGAAGTTGGGAGTTAGGAAATCTGAAGATTTAGAAGGTGGGAAGCTTGGGAACTTGGGAGTTTGGGAGCTTGGGAGTTTGGGAGCTTGGGAATTTGGGAGCTTGGGAGTTTGGAAGCTTGAGAGTTTGAGAGCGTGGAGGTTTGGGAGCTTGGGAGTTTGGGAGCTTGGGAATTTGGGAGCTTGGGAGTTTGGAAGCTTGGGAGTTTGGAAGCTTGGGAGTTTAGGAGCTTGGGAGTTTGAGAGCTTGGGANNNNAGCTTGGGAGTTTGGGAGCTTGGGAGTTTGGGAGCTTGGGAATTTGGGAGCTTGGGAATTTGGAAGCTTGGGAGTTAGAAAATCTGAAGATTTAGAAGGTAGAAAGCTTGGAACTTGGGAGTTTGGGAACTTGAGAGTTTGGGAACTTGGAAGTTAAGAAACCTGAAGGTTTGGAAGCTAGGAAGTTTCGGAACTTGGGAGTTGGGAAACTTGAAGATGCAGAAGATAAGAACTTTATGAACTTAGAAATTAGGAAATTTATAACTTAGGAAGTTTGCAAACTTCATAGTTAGCAAAACCCAACAATCTACACGGTAGTCCACAAACTTGAAAGTTAGGTATCCCAAAAATTTAGAAGGTAGTCCATAAACTTGCAAGTTAGTATACCCAAAAAATTAGAAGGTAGTCCATAAACTTACAAAATTATACCCAAAAATCTAGAAGGTTTTCCTAAATTGGCAAACGAACTAATTTGGCCTACATCCTTCACTATTTCGTTTAAGTACAACACGCATTATCGTGTATCGCGAAGCAACGTGGTAATTTACGAGCACGTCGTACGAGATCCAACCGATAAAGCTCCGTTGACGCGTTCAATTCAGACTTATGAACTAGACGAAGGCATTCACAAAGCTCTCCGTGGAGTTTCTTCGGTGCATCGCACACGACACGCTTCGTAACAATACGAGACAAGCGCAACACAGTCTAGGCATACCTAGCTTCACGTGTATGGATTCTACGATCTTGCCGCCATAAATTTCTCGTCGTCGCACGGTGAACTTCTACTTCCATCTGATACGTGTCTTGGATTTCCCTCGGCTCTGAACTTTCGTTCGACGTGGTTAGAGAGTTTACACGTATTTTCGTTCGACACAAAGGTATACAAATTGCGAGTACCTCAAATGTCAGCTGTTAGCTGAGGATCCTCGGGCGAAACGGATCGTGTGCTACTTTGGTCTTACGAGCTTTCGGTAACCTCGCTGATTTAAGTCCGTGGAATTCGAGATGCCTTTAGACGAATCTGGAGCCTACGAAAGCTTAGAATGCGGATGTCTGACCTCGAAAATTCAGGATTTACGGTTGAAAGTTCAATTCTGGGTGCGTCTTATTGCTCAGATGCCAGATATCTAAATCTTCAGGTTTCTTAACTCCTAAGTTCCTAAACTTCCAAGCTCCCAAACTCCCAAGCTTCCAAACTCCTAAGCTCCTAAACTCCCAAGCTCCCAAACTTTCAAGCTCTGAAACTCTCAAGCTTCCAAACTCCCAAGCTCCCAAACTCCCAAGCTTCTAAACCTCCAAGCTCCCAAACTCCCAAGCTTCCAAACTCCCAAGCTCTTAAACCTCCAAGCTCCCAAACTCCCAAGCTTCCAAATTTCCAAGCTCCCAAACTTGCAAGCTTCCAAACTCCCAAGCTCTTAAACCTCCAAGCTCCCAAACTCCCAAGCTTCCAAACTTCCAAGCTCCCAAACTCCCAAGCTTTTAAACCTTCAAGCTCCCAAACTCCCAAGCTTCCAAACTCCCAAGCTCCCAAACTCCCAAGCTCCCAAACTCCCAAGCTTCCAAACCCCCAAGCTTAAACCTCCAAGCTCCCAAATTCCCAAGCTTCCAAACTCCCAAGCTCCCAAGCTCCCAAACTCTCAAGCTTCCAAGCTCCCAAACTCCCAAACTCCCAAACTCCCAAGCTCCCAAAAATCCCTTCGAGTTAAGCGTACCTCTATTACCTTACAACGGTTATACAAACTATCATCCTCCGAAAAAAACAGCGACAAGAAAGAAAGTCGAAAAGAAGGGAGTTCCCGAAGGTGGAAAAATTCTGCGTCAAATACGTAATACCGATAATGAATGGCCACGGTGAACAGGAAATGTCATTAATAGGAATGCTCGTACACTCGTCCGACGTTATGAATGCGCATACGTATATGTGTGCATTTGTAATAAATTTCTTCGTTACTTACGTACGAGACAGAATTCAACATGTCGCCGACGTGTACGTATCCTCTCGTTCGACCCTTGAAGACTTATTGAGTACATAGATCCGTGCTGGTCTCGTACTCGTCGAGTACTCTCGTATATATATACACCGTTTATAAATCTGTCGTCGGTTCGTTTCTTTTAGAGAGACCAAACGACGAACTTGATTCACGACTAGACCTATACGATTTAGCGTTGATTGCCTTATTCGAATTAATTCAGTTTTTATGTTTGGAGATTGGGACTTTAATTAAATTGGTAATTAAATTGGTACTTTAATTGGTACTTTAATTAAATTGGTAATTCAATTGGTACTTTAATGTGTGTCTGGTGAGTTAGCAGTCAGATTCATCTGCCAACTTACCAGGTGTAGTATGTACATTGATAGAGATAAATTTTTATTATGTGTGTACATTAATTTTATAACAAAAGTATACAAAGTTACATTATTCAGTAACGAGTCATTTTTAACGTAAAATTGTCTGCGATTTCTAAAATTGTACAACAAAATGTATTAGATATATTGAACCCAGATTAAATATAAATTCGGAAAGCATAAATCAGAGAAATCGCTTTTCACTAACGTAAACCAGTTTCAGTTAAATTTAAGAAACGAACTGGAACTTTCATTCGGTATCGACTGCAGTTCGCCAATTCTCGAGCTTGCTAAAGGATCGATAGGAAAGAATAACATATTAAAAAGATGTAAAGGAACGTTGCGGTTTCGCTATTTACGTTTGCAACATTTAAGTAGAAAAACTTAATTTCCCCGTGTCTGAAACGTTTAACGTGTTTTGTTCTTGTTCTAGCTGTGGTCGTACGCTATTTAACGAGGCGATATATCGGCGAGTACAGCTCAACCAGTGGTAAGTCTTTTTTTATTATTTATAATCGAACGTTTCGGTTGTTGGGAATCAACATCCATCTTTTCTGTTACTTTGAGAGTATCCTCTCGGTTAGAACGTGGACTTGAACCCGTCGGTGCAGCTTTTTGTTTTGCAGCAGATCGACTGATTGCTTTATTACCGGCGTTGCTCCGAGACGAGAGAATCGTTTAGTTTTTGCCTTTTCGATACGAAATTACCTTCATAATGAAGCGGAACGGTGCCTTCGGACGGGAAAATATCACGTTTTATCGTCGATTATCGTCACCCGTATATAAAATTTATTTGAACGTTGTCTTAATTGAAATTTTTCAAAAACTCCGACACAGCTTTAATGGCGCACAGATTAATCTGCCGTCTCGCTTTTCATTCAGGGAACGATAAGAGAGATTATCCTATCTTCATTTACGGAATTGGATACACGAAACGCTATTATCGATGGTGGTCGATCGTAGAGAGGAACGTTGGCGAAATCGTGGCCGTTTCTTTTTTCGATCGTTTGAAATCACGGACCGGCTCTAAAAGCGATCGTTGCGGTTCGCGGGTACAAATTGAACGATCGCGAGAACGACGAGACGGCCTGAAAGGGTCGAGAACAACTTCTTCTTCTTCTTCTGTGGGTAGTATCGAATTCTCGGAATGCGGACTGCAGAGCTGCCGTATAAACGCGATTATCTTAGACTCCTTACCGTGCGAGTTCCAGTTCCCTTAAGCTATGCATACCGAGAGAATCGTGCCGCCACGCCGCCGGCTCAGCGACAAGATTTTCAAGAAGATTTCTTACGCTTTTACGGCTTTTTATTTTTACCAGCCTCGCAGCTCGACACTCTTTGCTCGCTCGTTTCTCCTACCAGCCCGATCGTGCACGTCGCGAGAAACACCAATGAAATCGTAAACGAATGCTCGATACTTGCAACTTAATTGGAGACCGCTATACCCCACCTATCTAATACACTTACTCAAAATCGACCCTTTGTATCTCCATGATTTTTCTACTTGAAAATTTCGGGAATTTCTATTGAATTCTTCCGAAGCTCAGGAGTTATGTGAAATAAAATAGATGCGTAGAGTATATCAGATCAATAATTATATTTATAAATGGGAAAATTAAACGGTGAAGGAAACTATAGAAGAATTCGGTGCTTACAAGATGGGCGCACAGTTAGAACTAAAAAAGAACTACTACGACAGTACATGTGTCTATGCCTGGAGTACTCGCAGGTCCCAGATCCTAATTAAACAATGACTTCGAAGGATGTAGGGTTTTCTAAAAACGGTATGAGCATGGTCAAGGCTTTAACTTCAACAGAATACCTCACTCGAAATGGTCAAATCCCTTGTTAATTGTATCTACGTATCGATGATTTTTGTGAGATAAAAGCTATTACCGCTCTACGTAACAGCATGAACACGTTTCTATTTAGAAATCGCATAACCATACGAGTCCAATAAGTCCACAAAAATACCCGGTAATCTATCAGCAGAGTCTATCATTTTCAAGTGTTTTAGCGTTATCTGTTGCTCGTATTATTTCAATCAGCGCAACACGAATCTCGCGAAGGATTTAATTTGCTCGGAGGGACTTGCCGGTGTCATTCCCTTCTCAAGACAGTACAATGGCCCATTTAATAGATCGCTTTTGTTAATCGCGCTACTAGAGACTGGCTGCTATTACAATCCCTTGAAAACGCGTTGTTGGCTGCATTTGCTCGTTTATTGTTCAGCCTGCGGGCAATCCGTTTCACGGACCGTGAGAATGAAGGAAACGAGAGGCACCGAGGAGTTTCTTTCTCGTGCAAATTTTCGAGCTATTCAATTACTCGATCTTCGAGTCGAGAGTTTTCGAACGTTATTGGAATAAGACACGTAAACAAGTATTAGTTATCACAAGAAACTGGGCGGGGAAATTAATATTCTACAGACACTTAGCTAACTCGGGGGTGGCACGACTTCGACGGAGTACTTCGAAGTGCGCATGCGCACGGTGTACCAATATGGCGGCCGAAATAACTTGTACATTCACCAGTAAATTTGCAATAAATATTTTGTTCTGAATAAATATTCTGTTAGATATTTTGTTTGCAATAAATGTTTTGTTTCTCTGTAACACATTCGTCTGTACTTTTTGTGATACTTTTCTTATAAATTATCATAAAGGTCGCCTGTTGTTTCTAAATTATCATAAAGGTCGCCTGTTGTTTCTTACTCTTTGACGTAATCGTATTCAGAAACATTTATCTTGCAGTTGAAGCTGCTCCATAAAAAGAAACGTTTGCAATAAAATTATGTACGAACGTAATAAAATAAAGTCCGTGAAAAATGCGGCGATTCAAGGGTTATTAATGAAGTAGCGTTTACGAAGGGAAATCTCGAGCAGAACGATTGAGACGTAATTGTCCGGAGCGTTCCGGTTGGCTGTTAGGTTTCTTTTCACCTTCCGTTTGCAACCGTTGCAGAGAGGCTCGTTCCCTCGAAACAATGCTATAATCTTTGGTCTTTTTTCACGGAAGGATGCTGATTATGGGCGTGGATAACGTTTAACGCTGTTCTCGGTCGATGTCTGAACAGCTGTAATTAGCCAACCTTGATGAATGGTGCTAGACACGAAAGTGGATGAAAGTTTTCTTTCGACGACGATTTACGTGCTCGCGAACACGCGAAACACAACGGTTATCTTATCTGCTACGGAGATTCAGCTTCGGGGAAGTACCGTATTATAAATCATCAATGGGTATTAACAATGTTGAGAGTGGTAGTGGTTCGATGCTAATTCTCGTTTCTCCTTTCATTTCCCAGGGGATTAGGCTCTGATAGTTTTGGGATCTCTCGGAAGCTCTGATACCGCAGAATTCTGTTTCGCGAAAAATATTGGTCGATCTTAATTATATTTGTTCAACGATAACACAACTTGTTTTTCTTTCATATTTGAATATACAGGGTAACTAAATTTGCATTTTAAGGATGCAACTTGGTTCAAAATGCTACACTTTGTCATCTTGATTAAAGGATATCTTTTATATTCTCTAGAATCTATTAGGCATATTAAGTGGCTGGTTTCGAAACGTAGAAAGTCTGACGACGTAAAAGTACCGTAAAATAGCACCAATGGCATATCAATTTGACGCTCGAAGATTGACGAAAGACTTCATCGATATTCTCGACAAATTATGGCTGTCCTTCGTTGGAACGAACAGTGGATTTTTGCTAATGGTAAATTAGATCCATTGTTTCGGTGAAAAGTTGTTCAATAAGGAGAGGGTTGCTCAAGCTTTTACGCAATCACTTTAATCGCTCTTTAAACTTTACATCGGTATGTTGTTTTACGATACCTCCACATTATGAATTTATGTAAACTTGCATGTTTCGAGCTAGTTATTTTTATACCCGTATTATCGTTCGTTATACGTGTTATTATTGTCCGTAGGAAAATAAAAGAAATTGTCGGTTTCGAATGGAAAACTTGGATAGACGAAAACACAGGACACCTTGTATATCACTGTAAACAATACTTTCATTCTCTGAAAGCCTTCAACGATATTCAACATGTTGTCAAGCCGTAAATTAGTTGGAATAAATCATCGTCTCGGTCTCGAACTGTCCCCCTAAATCTTGCTCTAATTCCATATTACACTGTATAGACCGCGAGAAGGAAAGAGAACAAATCATATCCTTTCCACAAAGGCTGCTAACTCGCCGAAGCAGGATTTATGGTGTTACCGTTTCCCCCGGTTAATCGTCTCGAAATTGTTCCGTCCAGCCAGGAGATATACGACCGGAAAAATATCTCGTTCCCGAACGATTAACCGCATATATCACGAAATTACTCTGCTGGAACCGATTGATCGACCAGATTAGAGAAACCTCGCTCGTCGCCTCGAGACATTTCGATCGCTACGGCCCCGTTTCAACCCCTTTCGATCAACGACACCCGTTTTTTCGCACCCCCTTACGATCCTCTAAACCGTAATACGTTGACGTAAATTAATTAATTTACCGAGAGCGTGGGTTAATCCTGGACGTATTCAGGAAGCGGATAATCTTGCAGCGACGATCGAGCAACGGGATAATTGCTTAATCGACCTCTTAAAGGCTACGTCGTGCGCACAGTTGGACGATCGGACAAAAAGTAGAACATGCTGCATCGAATTTTATGCTCTAAATGGAAAAACTTGCCAGCTGTGAAATTGTAGTTGGGGTGTTAAATCGCCAGTTCCACCCGCGTTTTTATATCACCTACGGCAATATAGCGAGAGTCGGTAGCTGGTAACGTCCTCTCGAATCGATTTCAAGACTCTTATGTTTGATTACTGTTCCTGGAATAGAACAATCTGCATGATAGAAAGTAATGGTCAATCATCAGATACGAGCTCGAATTAGATTCGATTTCAGAAAGCGATAGATCGAGGTCGACGATCTCGACTAGATAATGATGATCACGAGTCGCATCGTACTACGAATAATCGATATTTCTAATCTCTCGCCCCGCTACGCTATTATTTCGATTAACAATGCAAATCCGTTTCTCCTTGCGTGGAATAAAATCATTCGCTCGGTAATGATTTAGAAAGTAGTCGATTGTTTCGGAGCGCCTTTGAATCGTGCGATAGATCATTTGATCGGATGGATCACGTAGGGTGAATTTCGAGCAAATATGCTATTGGAAACTTTTATGAAATTGAACGTCTGGGAAATGAGGAAGCGTTCAGAAGTTGTATTATTCGTAATAACGCGAATTACCTTTCGGCTTCTAAAAAGGATGTCAAAAGTCCATCATCTGGAGTCTGACGCAACTGCGCAGTCTCGATATTAATAGCAAAGTTGCTAGTAGTGAACAATAGTGTGTAATAATAGTATAATACATAGTAATAATGAGTAATAAGATACTCGGATTGGTGCAAGAGATATGCAGAGTTGATAATGTACACAATGCACTTGACCGTAGCAGTCAGTGATATCAATCCGATCCGCAACAAAGGAGATATGTATACACTACCTGAACGATTCCTTCGCACAAAAATTCTGCTTGATTAGATCCGATGAGTCACTTTATCGCCAGACAAATAATTGTTTCGCAAGTTCATTACATTCGAAAGAACTTGATTTTATGATATGCGTAGTATTCTATTTCCGTTCGAGTCTTTGTGCGTTGGAAGTTGTTGCAAGTGTACTTCGGAGGAAAACAATCTCGTACTCCGCGGATGACCTCATAAAATACCATACACGCTGTTGCGAAATCGTACTTTATTTTCCTTTCGAACCTTCGATCTTTCTACGTCGCCAATTACCAGCGAATTCACCAGAAATTTGGATATGTTTGGATATATTAGGAGTCGCCTTATTTGACTTAACATGAAAGCTCTAAACACTTGTCCTCGAATATATCTGTGATTCTGTACTTTAGTTCAAAGGTAGACGTGTCTCATTCCTTCAGATGTTTACCACAGTTTCCGATAACAAGTTTGCACTGAAAAGAGTATAGAGTCCAGCTTTTCAGATGACGTCTATCGTTGCAGTCTCGTACAACAAATACGAGTCCAGAAGAAGTTTGTGTACGGTAGTGATCGAGGAAACAGAGCTGCAGGATAAATCGTGGACCGATAAGGCAAACATGCCAGTACAGGAGAAACTGATAATGCACACGATCGTGCCAGGCAATTTCATACGTCTCACGATAGCCTTTCTTCGTCGTCGCTTAAGCGGAAGATTGTCAGTGAGACGAAATTAAATTTCTATTAACTCGCGGATGATTTTTCCCATGGATTTTCTATCCAGCACCCACGCGAGAAGCCCCAGAGGAAATCGTCGACGGGTTGCTTTCACCGTTCGAGGGCGTTTCTTTGGAAAAGTGATTCTTCCATCACGGAACGAAAGTGCCACGGATCGATTCGAGTATTTTCAATTCGTTTCGATCATTCAGCGCGAGAATTTCACGAACGATTATCTCCTTTGACGTTTCGAAAGCAACGGTTAACCCTTGGATGCCGGGTCACTGGGACACTCGTATCTAATTTGAATTCGCTCTCGGATCCATTTTCGTTTTCATTGCAACTTTATACTGTTCCTTATGTTATCATTGTGGGATGCAATTATGTTATAATTGTAAGTTGCGAGTCGAGTTTAGTTTTTATCGTTTGAGTAAAGAGTTAAAACAGTAATTGAAATAATTACAAATAACTTATAAAAAATTATGAAGTATCGTAAGAAAATATGGATGAATATCTTACAGAGTAATGATACAATTTTTATTACAAATATTACAGGGTTTAAACTATTCTTTCTCGACCGCCATATTTGTACGCTGTGCGCATGCGCACGCGCATGCTCCGTTGTCAGGTGCGCACTAATCACAGCTATATTAAAACAGACAATAAAATTAATATTATATCAATTTGGTATCAACTATGAACTCCAAATCAAAATGTATTTATTCTCATGAAAATAGAGCAAGCGTGCAAGTTTTCTTCCTTAAATCCGAGCGGTTAGAACTAGACAGTTTTGATGTACTTAAAAACAGTAAACGCTGCTCGTTAGGAGAAAAGGAAATTGCAGGTTCTCGTTGTAGCGATTTCACGCGTGTAAAGACGACCCACAACCGCGAAAAAGAATCAACTAGAACGACACGGAAATGACGACGAACACGGTAGCCGAGCCGAGCCAGATGCAATAAATAAACGATAAATAAACTCATAAACACCTCGTAGCGTACGGCGTCGAAGCGTTTGAACGGGCAGAAACAAGCAAATAAGGATGCTCGTTATATTAGCGGTCGTTACGCTCGAGGAAGTTTTATTGCCGGACAATGCCGACGGGGAAACGATTTGACCAACCGTTGCGGAGGAAAATTTATTGCATCCCCGTGGAAAAATCCTCGGGAGGGCAAAGAATCTCGGTGAAAGATTTTCAACGATGAGAGATTCGGTGCTCTAGAAAGTTTGTTCGATCAAAACGCACATATGTTGCAATGAGTAGTATATCCGTTCGCGAAGCAAAGTCGAATAATTTTATAGTTGCTCGGTGGGTATAAAATTGTCGGACATTAATAAAAGAATACGGCAGTAATTCACTTAAGTAGGATCTATTTGATCTAATCTCGAGCGAGATGTTAAAGGCAAATAATTAGTAGCAAGATTCATAAATTACTTTTATATTCGTTACTCCGTTTCCACGGGTGCATAAACGTCTTCCCAAGCTGTAAAGCTAGCTTTCACATTGACAACTTTTATCGTCAATTTTCTACGGATCGAATTAACGAAACGGCGAGGTAGCTTCGTACGCAAATTGGGTTAGTGTTACGATCAACTATTTTCGAATAATTTTTCCCTGCATCATTTTTGTGAGGAAAAAAAATGATATCCGATTTCATCTGATGAGATTACAGTTGCACTTCTATATCTTACATGTCACTCTATTTCGAAACAGTGTATGTTGCAATGTTGCGAAACGATGTATTTAAGGGTTGATCTTTTATACGGAGCTAATTGAGAATTCTCGTCAGAGTGTCACGCTTCTAACGCGTTAACGAACACGTACGATCGATTTCAAAACGGACTTTTCGAAAGAGCCGAAGGGTTCGTGATCCTTGGCGAAAGTAACGCGTATTGTCAGCGAACGGCGTAATGACAGAGCGGCGCGGCGCCCAGCGTCACCGCGTCAAATCGGAATTGTCGTTAGTAACTGGTCCAAGACTTTCGCGCATTAGCCGCGTTTTCTATTCGCGGGAAAATCTACGATATCAAGTGTATTCCTTTCGCGTATCGCTTCTTTTTACCAATATCTCTTTTCCTTTCTTACACTCTCCCGGGACATCGAACACAATAATTTACTCGGGAATCGTTTTCAGTGCACATACTGAAACACAAAGTTACGAACCATCAATTTTAGAAAATATACGCCTGTCAAAGCGCTAACCGATCCACCGTTTTGCTACACGTTCATTTCCTTAAACGATTAAAAACTTGGTAAGATCGGGTATCAAAGTTGGAACAGAGTAGTTATGTCTATGTAACATTCTGTCTTGTTACATATGGCTATTTCTACTTTGACTGCGTTAACATGTGAGTCTAAGGACGTTCAAAAAAAGCCAAAGGTTAAATTGTGCGATGAAGTTGAAGCCTTGCAAAAGCTCGCAGACATAGGCTATCCAAGACTAGTAGCCAATGGAGAGAGTAAATGAATAAAAGCAGCGATCAAGTTCACAGCGTATTTCAGGAATTAACCCAGAGATTTAGCGTAGAGGTTTCTGTCCGACATTAACAATTAGTCTGGTGTCCCGAGATCGATCTGCCGGCGTTCAGTTTCAGTTATCGTTCGGCTGGATCACCCAGACCCAAGGACGCCAAGCTAGATTCAACGATTGCTCTTTAGCTAGAATCGCCGTGGATCCTTGAAGAGGTCTGACGGATCGATTTCATTATCCTCGCAGAGCGAACTCGTACGTCTTCTCTTGAGAACCCCTTTCGCTAGCTCTGTTCAGACTAGACCAGCCGTGGCGATAGCGATTCAGAAATGTTCACCTATCATTCGTCAAGGCGTCACTGTAATCTCGTTCTACTCTGTTACAGATTTCCTGTACCGGCACAGCGTTACCATCGATAACGTTAATACCGAGGTCGAGATACTGGACACTTCCAGGTGCGAGGTAAGTTCCTGCCACTTTTCGTCTTTTCGGTTGCATTATTTTCGAAACGAGATTTCGTAAGAATTACATTTACCGTGTGTCGAATAAAAAGCGCAGACTCGTGCTTTTAACGCGAGGAGATTTAAGTACGTCGGATCGCAAATTATCCGCATTCTCCATTTTTTGTTCCGTTGGAAGGTTCGCGCCTAATGATCCCGTGGCTTTATTGATGGACACACGACATAGATTGGCGTTAAAATCTCACTTGGATATGCGCGCGGGCACCGGTGAAAATGTACATTTACGGCCGTACGTTTATTTGACAGACTGATTTGCTCGCGTGAGTTATGCCTGGTTGCGAGCGTTTCGTAGCAGGCTGTAAATTAACCACGCTTGCAACGGGATCGTCCGCCTTGATTTCCGTTTTATTACGTTCACCGTACGATCTTCGCTTTTCGCGCGATTTATACCTCGCCTAGCTGCCGTCTTTAGACACCCATAAACTAAATTATAATTTATAATTATTTTTCGCCACTCCGTAAGAATTTTTCAAGTACTCCCGCGAACTTATTATTGAAGTACTCTCGAAAACGCCCAACAATCGAAGATCGTTCACCCCTTGTCCCGATTTAATCATCGAACAACCAGCAAAACAATGAAATGCAGCCACGCAACGTTTCAGACTCGTCCAAGTCGCTAATAGTCATCGACACCGATGACTGAACACCTTTGACGATCAATCTCGGCGACAAACGAACCAACAAAACCCGCATTCTCTCGATCGTCTCGCGTTAATTCTCTTTTGGAGAGCTACACGCGAGTAAACGCGATCTCTTTCTGTCTCGGACGTTTCGTTCTTTTTACATTTTCTCAACGCGTTCGCGAAGTGCGCGGCAATCGGCGCCTTTATTTATCATCCGTCGACGCCTGTAAACACACACGACTATTTCAGTTTATCCGAGCTAAGCTTGGAGTGCAACCAGAGGAGACTTTCTTTTCTCTTCTTCTTCTTCCCTCTCGTTCCTTTCATTGTGAAAGTCACGGTGAATCATTTGCTTGCTGGACAAACTCCATCGCGTCGGGATGTTTCGCAATAAGCTGCTTTTCATTTGGCGAAGCTTTTTGCTCGCCGGGGAAGAGCAAGGAATTCATCGAGAGAGAAACAGAGCACCTCTGTGTTCCTTGATGAAGTCGTTCGCGATCGTATCGCCGAGTCCCGGTCGCGGCTAAACTTTCATCGTTGATTGGGACCGGTAGAAAGGTCACGAATCGATTTCTAGAGCTTTCAGATCGACAGCATCGTACATCTCCTCAAAAATTGCCGACGTTTTACCCTCCATCCGTGCTGGAACATTCTTTGAAACTACCAGTCTACAATTTTTATATAGCACTGTTCTAACAGGCTAGATATCCTTTCGGGTATTCCAGTATGACGCGACTATTTTTAGCGGTTAGTCGAGAATTTTTTTCAATAACTGATTAACACATTTCAGTCCTGAAACTTTTTTCGTTTATTTGTCTATGTTAAGGTATATAAAAAATAATTTTTTCGAAGTGAAGTTATGTACAGTTAGACGGCTGAGATCTCCTACAATGTTAGCCCCTTAGAAAAGTTTCAGGACTGAAATGTTTTAATCGGTTATTGAAAAAAATTCTTGACTAACCGCTAAAAATAGTCGCGTCATACTGGAATAGCCCCTTAAAGAAGCTTCGACTTGAAAATTATATCCTAGCTGAAGCAAGGTTTCGATTCTGTGCATTCAGTGTGAAGTTATTGGACTGGACTATCGAAATTTGCAAGAGGAACAGCTGTAGGGTATTTGTTACGAAGGGAGTTTAAATTCCTTGACGACAAAACGAGAAGACAATGAACGGTGTTAGAGAGCTTAATGCCGCGATATCGTAGAAAGTGATCAAATTTTGCGGAGCGCGAACGAGTGCGTTGTCAACAATAAATCGCGTTTGCCGATCGATAACGATCGTCAGATCGAACTTTCGATAGGCGTCGAACGATCGATCGACGGTCCCACGAGAGCGGCTGTAAGCGCGCACATACAAATCGGTGGCATGGCTTCCTGTATCGTATTATTTATTGAATCTATGCAGTAACGGTGCACCACGCGTTCTCGACGAGAAGCCATTGTTTACATCGGATCGTTGCATTCGTGCTGCACCGTATGGTGCAACTTGTAACCATCGAAACGGCGTTCCACGAAATGTGTGAAACGCACGACACAGATAGGATCGACTAGGAACAGTGACAGGCCATTTAATCATCTCGCAGATGCGCGGGACACGCTGACATCGTTTATTAAAAAAACAAGAATCGTTTAGAAATCTCCGGTTTTTCTTCCCGTGCCATTTTATCCTAGATAATGAGAGAACATTCGATCCGATGGAACGAAAACACGAGCCGAGGAAGAAAAGGAGAAAAGAAGTCTCACGAACGGCGGGACATATTTTCTCATCTCCAAAAAGGAATCCAACGTGTTCCCTTATGGGAGCGTCGCGTCGTACGAACCGCACGGTACACTGACTCGTCCCAAGTTGCTTATTCGGTAGCCCTGCAACAAGACACGATCGAGAGGCCAGGTTGTTTTTAGCAAACTGGTTTTTCTACCTGGGGCTTACAATTACCGGCTTCCTTTTTTGCACTGTTACCCTCTCCAAATGTTTGCACCTGTCGCTTAAAAGGCTGCGAACCCACGGGGCCAACATGGCATACCTGACCGTACGGATTAGTCCTTGGACTCTGGAGGCTAAGAATATTTGGAGCAACGCGAACGCTCGATATTTCACCGACCATTCATACAATTCCAAACACCCATGCGTGGAATTCCGTTTTCCTCCTTGCCACGTGGCGAGCGTTTCGTTCCCGGTTAAATATACCTTCGCTCCCTCGGTTACGGCTGAATACTTGTCATAACTGCGCGCGAAATTCCCCTATACGCAAATCTCTACTCTACAAAAACTCTTACAATTTTAACCGGGGATCTACAAATTGACTCAATCGCAGAAAACTTTTATTGATAAAAATGAGAAGAGGCGAAACCCTTGAACCGTTACTCAGGGTTGAACAGTGGACCCCATGGCTCGAGCTTGCGTCAAGCGATGAAAGTTAGAAGAATGAAATATATTTTCTAAAAGATTGCTCGTAAAATTTGTGGATTACAGGAAGAGTCGACGCAATCGAGAAATCGTGACCTAACGTAACCCAAATCTGTGGGGAATCGGGCAGTTTGAGGTCGATCGTCCTGACCTTCCTTAACCTGATTCATCTAGAATACGGTAACGAACGAGCGCACGCGAACCTCCGAGCGAAACGGAAACACACCGGGACAAGGCCCGTTAGCCGTGTATTTGAATTGAATAACGATTGCCTTTAAATTCGAATCTAGGCGACTTGCGCGACCAGAAGGAAGGTTCACCAGCACACGGACGTAACGAGCGGGGAACGGAGACAACTGCGAGCACACGTTCGTGGAACGGCGTGTTCACCTGTCGCGGCTAGAACGGAATCCTCATTGAGATTCCACCGGCGGTCTTTTTCTATTATCGGTCCCATTGTTCTCGGTATCGTAAATTATTGCCACCGGTTCGAGCCGCACGAAAAACTATATGCATAAATCGTTGTCGCCGTTTAGAAGGTCACGTCCCCGCTCGATTGTCTCGTAGCGATTTCGCGGGTTTAGTATCTCGTTGGACGAAGCAAATAGGGCTTCCACGTGGACCGTGCAATTCCATCGAACCAGTCAGGAAACGCGGAGGTAATAGTCGATTTTAGGATAAGTTAATATGTCGGATTTTAAATCGGGAGATAGGAAAACCAGGATGTAACTTGTTATCGAATACCATGGACATACGAGCGGTATCTAAACGACGATTCAAAAGGCAAACGATATCCGCTATTCGACCACCCTTCGACTCGAAGCGCAAGGATATCGAATGCTTCCCTGGCTCGTTTTATCTCCTCGATTCCGCCTGCATCGGGACTTGCACTTACTTTGACCGCGTACAACGCTTCTCTGTCCTTCTCCAGCGTATCTGGCCGAGGATCGATCCTCGACTAAACGCCACGCGGATGTTGGCGAACCGGCGACCGAGGAAACGGATAATTTCGGAGATTAGAACGCGGTTCGGCCGACAGGTTATGCGCGCTTTAAACGGTTACGTTCGTGGCTAACTTACCCCATAAAGTTCGTGTCGAAATACTGGGTGCCTTCACAGTGGCTTTCACGCGGTCAGATACGCCTAGAGAACCGTGTATCTATGGCTGTATCTGGCCGGGCAATGAATGGGACGCGTTGCGTTTGCAGCCGGATAATTGGAAAGATTGTATCGCGATGCCTCGTGCACTTTAGCGAACGCTTGTTGTTCGATTCTAAGGAACGAACGATTTTCTCTGTTGTAATCGTGGCCTTTGAGGCTTTCCTGCCACCTTTCGGTACACGCCAACAATTAAACCGTGTCGTATTTTCAGTCTACACATTTTTGCTCGTTCTTATTTACAGCCTACGCCAGTACGAAATAATGGAGATCTCAGACGTCGATATTTTAGCTTTTGCTGAAAATTTATGTTAATTACATTATGAAATATCGGTGGATAGAGTAATTTGGAAATTTTACGGTTAAACGTAGAATACGGGATTCGTAGATCCTGCGAAATGTGCCAAAGTTATTATTATCAAAGGTCAAACCGTGCAATTAACCGATAGCATCGTGAACTAATTACAACTTACTCAATGTAAGGAAGATTACAGATAAAGGAAATAACATAAAATTATCGGAGTTATAGATCCCGTAAAATGTGCCAAAGTTATTACTGTCAGAGGGTTATTACATCCGAGCAATTAGTATGATCGGTAATCCGAGCTATTAACACGGTTCTACTTCCACTCTTTCTATTCAAACCACTTAATAATGTATTTATCAGAAGATCCTTATCTTCAATTGTATCTGCTCATTATTAACCTCGAGGAAATCATCTCAGATACCTTACTTAACACGTTGTGGTCTTCCAT